TCAGTGATTGGAAATGGTCCAGCGATGTCTAAGGCTATTCTCTCCCAAGGCATACCAACATTGTAGATTTTCATCGCCCCTCTGCTTCTTGTTTGTGGACCCTTGACAGCTGCACAACTAGTGCATTTCCGACACCAATCTTCGACGTCATATTTGCAATGCAACCAATAAAACCTCTCCTTGATCTTCACCAAAGTCCTCCTAATTCCCAAATGTCCTCCAGAAGATCCATCATGGAACGCTTTTAATACATCCCTTATTTTTGAACGAGGCACCACCAATTGCAAATGCTCGTCCTTGCCGTTTGTTGATTCCCATTTCCTGCACAGAAGTCCGTTATGCAGCGTAAGGCTTTTCCACTGTGCCCATAAACCTTTCGTTACCGCGCTATATTGGGCGACGTCACTCCAACTTGGCTTGTTACCACTTCGTAGCCACTCCAGTATTGGTTTGATATCTGCATCTCTTTCCTGTTCTAATTTCATCGCATCATCTCCCCATGCCTCGTCAACAGTATCAGTCCTTATCACCTTAAGAAAAGCAGTTTCCTTCTTGGCACAATGCTTGCAATCTTCCACGCATGGGCGTCTCGATAATGCATCTGCGTTGCCATGAATTCTTCCGCCGCGATGTTCGATTTCAAAGTCAAATTCCTGAAGTTGTTCCAACCATCTGGCTACTTGGCCTTCGGGATCCTTAAACTGAAGCAGCCATTTCAAAGCAGCGTGATCAGTTCTGATCAAAAATTTCCGTCCCAGTAAATACTTCTTGAAATGGTGCAGAGTTTTGACTACGGCCAGCAATTCCCTCCTGGTCACGCAATAATTCTTCTCCGGCTTGGATAGTGACTTGCTGAAGTAAGCAATAACCTTCTCCTGCTCACCATCGCGTTGTGAAAGGACACCTCCTATTCCAATATTGCTGGCATCCGTATCAACTACGAATATTTCTTTCGCGCTGGGGTATCCGAGAATTGGTGTGTTACAAAGCCGTTCTTTTAGTTCTCGAAAGGCTTGCTCACAATCCTCGTCCCAGATAAAGGCACGTTTCTCCTCTGTCAATCGATGCAAAGGCTTGGCAATGTTCGAGAATCCTTTCACAAACCGCCGATAATACGAGCACAATCCAAGAAATGCCCGAACTTGCGTTTTGTCTTTAGGTGTTGGCCATTCCTTAACAGCGGCAGTCTTGGCTGGATCAGTCTCAATTCCTCTCTCAGAAATAACATGTCCTAGATAATTCACTTCGCGCTTGAAGAAAGAGCATTTCTTTGGACTCAACTTTAAATTTGCTCCACGCAGCTTATCGAGTACCTTTTCCAATTTCCTTAGATGATCGTCAAAATCCCGTCCAACAATGATGATGTCATCGAGGTAAACTAGGCAGGTTTCGCCCAGCAGTCCCGCCAGCACCTGTTCCATCAAACGCTCAAAGGTTGCCGGTGCATTGCATAATCCAAATGGCATCACCTTAAATTGCCAGAGTCCCTTCCCAGTTGAGAATGCGGTCTTTTCCTTGTCCTTGGGATCCAAATCCACCTGCCAATAGCCGCTTTTCAGATCGAGCGTTGAAAACCATTTCATGCCACTCAGTGTGTCAAGTGTGTCATCGATTCTTGGTAACGGGTAGCTATCCTTCTTGGTTACATCATTCAATCGTCGATAGTCTACGCAAAACCTCGTTGAACCATCTTTCTTCTTGACAAGCACGACAGGTGAACACCAAGGGCTAGAAGAGGGCTCTATCACGTCATTTTTCCTCATATCGTCAATCATTTCTTCAACCTCTTTCTCACGAGCGAATGGTATGCGTCTGGGCCTTTGACGAATTGGCATTGTATCACCTGTGTTTATTTTATGCTTCACCAAACCAGTTCGGCCAATATCACCATCGCTTCTTGAAAACACATCAGAGAATCGAAGAAGTAAATTTCTAGCTTTCATAGTCTCCACTTTTGTCAGACTTTTGTTTTCGTCTAAGATTTTCGTTACAAAGTCTATTCCCGTACTGTCCTTCTTCACAAGATTCTCCGAGCATTTTCTTATCCAGGCCACTTCTTCCAATACGCCCACAGGCTCTCCTTCTTCAATCGTAATTTTTGAATCACTGAAGTTGAATACCGGAATGCGGTTGACATCAGATGACCCCACGACAGTTCTCGCCGGTAGCCATGAGTTTACGTGTTCCGATTTATCAATCACAGCGCACCTTAGAGGTAAACTTCCTTCCCTCCTCCTAGGTAATGCGATTGGTACGAGAGTCTGTGATTTTGGTTCAAGAACAGTTCTTCTTAAACAGCAAACTTTTCCCAGGGTTCCACCCTTCATCGGAATTTCCTCAGTTCCACATAGTAATACTCCAGATTTTAAGTCGATGTTACACTGGTGCCCTTGCAGGAAGTCAAGTCCCAGGATGCAGTCATCCAGAATTTTGGCCACAATAACCTCATGTCGATAAACACGTTCCCCAATTTTGATTGTTACATGCAGTTTTCCACTTATCGGTATGCACTGGCCGGTAGCTGATTTCATTCGTAGGCCAACAATTGGTTTAACGTGTTTCCTGATGTTTTGCCCGAGCAGCCGAACATTTATCACCGTCCTTGAAGCTCCAGTATCTAATGTTAGCTGACTGTTTTTCCCATTTACTTGACCGTCTATCACCAGAGTATTTCCATCGTTAGTTTGCTTGATGTAGATTGTTGGGGTTATTCCACTACCGGCCAGCGCCCACCCCGCAGCCCTGGCTGGATTTAGTTTCCCTGCTGGTCAGAAGTTGAGACCGCCGCGTCCTGGCGGTTCACCTTCTTCGGGCAGTCGCTCCGCATGTGCCCACGCTCTCCGCATCCATAGCACATGAAGTTCCGACGGCGTGGAGGTACCTGCTCCGTTGTCGTCATTTCCCGCAGACGTAAGGTACGGGAGTTACCACGCACGGCTTCCACTTCCAATGCATGGGCCAGAGCTTCTTTCATGTTCTTGTGATGGCCCAGATGAACAGCAGCTCGTACTTCGGGGTCCCGAACACCGTCAATGAATGCTTGGAGAAGCGTGCCTTCAATCATTGATGGAGTCGACCGAAAAGCTCGACGCACAAGTTTCTCGATTTCCACGGACCATTGCTGTAGACTCTCATTAGCACGCTGAGTACGCTCTTTTAATTGCGCTCTGTACACGTGCTCGAGGTGGCTGTCTCCAAAACGTGCCTCAAGTGCGTCGAGGAGGGTACTAAAGCTGAGATCCCCACTTGCGCCGATAGCTTCCAGCACTGAGAGCACTTGATCACGGAGGGCCAGGGTGAGGGCTGACTGTGCTTCCTTCTGAGTCCAACCATAAGCCTCCATAAGTGTCTCAAACTGTAGCTTGAACGCGGTCCAGGATGTTGTTCCGTCGTAATGGGGAATCTTCAGCCCTTTCGTTGCGCTTGAGGCCGCATTTGGGGCGTCAAAAACGGCTGCAAGACGGCTTCGGCTCTTCAAAGGGCTTGGGCTTGTCACTTCCTGCTTGATTTTGGAGATCTCTTCTTCCACTCTCTCCTCTATCGCCATGACGCGATGTTCCAACTTGCCTAAACCTTCCTCCACTTCTTGTACCCGTTCGACAGCCTTTTGCAGTCCCTTCGTGAAATCTTTATGCATGTCCTCCAAGCGACGCGCTTGCTCCTCTTGGCGACGAGCTTGATCTTCTTTCAGCTCCCGCAGCTGTTCTGACTGACAGCGTGCTTGCTCTTCTTGGCGGCGCGCTTGCTCTTCTTGGCGGCGCGCTTGCTCTTCTTGGCGGCGCGCTTGCTCTTCTTGGCGGCGCGCTTGATCTTCTTTCAGCTCCCGCAGCTGTTCTGCCTGACAGCGTGCTTGCTCTTCTTGGCGGCGCGCTTGATCTTCTTTCAGCTCACGCAGCTGTTCTGCCATCATTTGCCGCAGCTGTAGCAGAAGATCCATCTGCACAGGCTTGGCTTCTGCATCGCTGGTCTGAGCTGCAGCACCCTCTTCCCTCACACGCTGCGCTTCTGACATAGCACGGGTACTCACTCCTCTTACGTCCTGCGGCACTAGCGGCATTTTTCTCCAATCCCACTTCTGACACCAAATGTTACGTGCCTGACGTCACGTTCCTGACTATGCGGGCTTGGGTTACGGGATTGGATGAAATGAAACACTAATACCGGTTTTCAGACTTTCTATTGCGCTTAAGTTACAGCGTCCACGGAGTTAAGTTATCGGCGTTCCTCTCCAGCAGAGTCCGGCCGACTGACACAACTTTGCCGTTCACGCTAACTTCACTTAACTGACTGCACTTCACTATTTCACTGCACTTCACTATTTCACTCACTTTTCTTCTTTTTCACTTCTTCCTTTTCTTCCGAATCGCTTTAGACTTAGAACTCAACTGCCAGCGGTGAGCCGCAGTTCCGCTTATATACCCCCGGTCAGGTTCTAGAACATTCAATTTCGTTATTCTTTTTTATTTATTCTCCTTCTCGCTCCTTAATTTTTCATTACTTTCACTCAAATATTCCAGAAAGTTCGACAAAACTTCCATCAACTAAAAAACTTCATGTTTACGGCGGGACTCGAACTCGGGGTCTCTGTGGTGTAATCCACACGCCTTACCGATTACACCAACTCGTGTTGACAATTCACGACGAAATTTACAATCTCTAGGCAACGTTTGACAACCATCCATTGACGTCATGATGTCAAAGAGTTTTCTGTCACAGTATTTTGGGGTAAGAGTGAAAATATTTATTGTGTTAAGTATTTTACAATAGACGCTACTAACGCCACCTGTTAATAAATAATGAAACTAAAAACTCAACTCAAAAAGCCTTCGTATCAGATATTTTTAAAGATAATATAGTACTCAGTACTGTTAATAAACTTATAAAGCAATTATTTTAAAATAACTTTTAACAAAAGTAAGAACATAACAAAATAAAAACAATACAAAACATAAAAAGTCATTGCCTTGTTTAAAATGAAATGGATTTAGAATGCACATCTCTATTGAAAAAAATTAATGTCAAAATCAGCGTCCTGTCAAAGTGTCAAATGAAACGAACGCCTTGTTAAACGGCAAATTGTTTTTATTTTAACCATAATTTTCTTGTAAAAACGAGAATCGGCGTAAAATAAATAAAAGTTCTACAATAAGCTGATTATTCAGGTAAGTTTTGCTCATTTTAATGTCTGTATTTTACTAGTTTTTATTGTTTGAACCGCATAGGTTATGTTGTAAGAATTTAGTAATTTTTTGGCATAAATTTGTACATTCTTCTAATTTTATGGTGAACTGAGGATTTATTTTTTTACTTTTTATATTTCAAATTACCCTATTAATGATTACATGTAATCTTGACGTTTTAATCTCTTGTTTTTGATTACGAACACTGATTTGAATCAGCACCTATTTCAATGAACATTGTCTTAGTATTACTCTGTAAACCGACCAAAAACATTGAAAAAATTATTGCAGAATGTCAAGCCAGGAGAATGAAGCCCCTTTGCCTGAAGGATGGGAGATGAGAACAAGCCGTTCTACGGGTATGACATACTTCTTAAACATGTATACTAAGAAGTCTCAGTGGGAGAGGCCAGAGGCGCCAGCTGACCCCGGTGAGATCCGCTGCAGCCATCTACTTGTGAAGCATGCTGAGAGCAGGCGTCCATCTTCATGGAGAGAAGAAAACATTACACGTACTAAGGATGAAGCTATGGAACTGCTGAAAGGCTATCGTAAGCAGATTGTGGCTAATGACGCAACATTCGCTGACCTGGCGTCTAAGTACTCTGACTGTTCTTCTGCAAAGCGTGGAGGAGACTTGGGCATGTTTGGTCGTGGACAGATGCAAGCTCCATTTGAAGAGGAAGCATTCAAACTGAAGGTGGGACAGCTCAGCCGGCCCGTCGAGACTGACTCTGGAGTCCATATCATTCTAAGAACTGCTTAGATATAAGTGTTACTGTGTTTTTAATCTGTTCTGTTGGCTAAAATATTTTTAACTTCATTTAATGGTACCAAATTAGTATGCTAGCTATTTAAACTTTTTATTGGATATATTGGAAATGATGAGATCTTTATAAGCCTTGGAAATACCTCAGAAATATTTAAAATATACTTGTTTATGAAAATAAAATAGTCTAGCCCATACTGTTGCCTGCTCAAATTTTGAAAGAAGTATTATTGATATACTCTGTGACTATGTAAACATGTTTACTTACTGAAATAGACTTGTACCGCTATTCATCATTGTTAATTAAATAATGAAATATTTTACTGTGTATTTGGCTTTGAATTGAGTTAGAAGTAATAGAAATGTTAAATTTATTATCAGACTTCCATTAAACTTAGCAATAACTCAATCAGATTGTAAAAGACAATGTTTATTGAAATGTATAATAATTGGCCATTCGTATTCTCAACCTTTGTGCCTAAAACTAAAAGGACAAAAATAAATATGTTTCTGATTCACATACTACATTTTATTATTTGTTCACCATAGAGTTGGGGAGAAATGAGTTGCAACATATAACTTAATACTTTATATATTCACTAACAAGATGCAGTAAATAAGAATAACAAAGTCTTAACATTAGTTACATCAGTACTGCGTCGCTGACGACCCCAGCCTGTCGTCAAGGACGCGGAACCCCCGAACTTTAAGATTTTTTTTTACATTTTTCTACATCATTTACAAATATGGCACTAACATAACTATAACGGAACTATATCTATACTATATTAGACCTTCATCAACAAATACAAAGTTCGGGAGCAAAACGTCGGATCCATATTACAAAGCCTTTGACGTCGATTCATCTTTATCCTGACTGTTTCTTATTAGAAGTATCGTGTCTAATGTCGATTCTTTGAGGTTCTGAGGCGCCGGCGTCCATATGGGGCCTATAATGGGCGGTGACCGCTTGCCTCCCCAAGCACTGAATTTGACCTTCCTCTTGCCATCCTTCTTGAGGTTAACATCCAAGTACGGATGCCCAGGTTTGAATATTTTAGGCAAAGAGTCTAGGAAACTTTTGAAGGGCATAGCTTCCCGCAGCGTCCTCTCGTTAGTCTTTGTGCTCAGAGCCAAGATCTTGATAGGATGTCGTTTGTCCAGTGTTGGGATGAATTGGAATCCAGCGAAGTTGAATCGGTCATTTCCATTAGGTATATAATTGGAGACGATTCTCGTCAGTTCGGGTATGGTTGTGGAGAAGATTATTTTGGAACTCTTGGAGCCGGGCTTATAGATCATCTGACCGCTTCGCTTCCCTCCCCAGGGGCTGAAGCGGACACGTTTGGGCATGCTCGGCTCTCGAATGTTACTGGCTCGTTTCCATGTCCACATGTGCTCGATACTGGCTTTATCCCGTTTGCCTCCCCAAGGACTGAAGTATTTCTTATCCTTGACATCTAGCAGGTTGGTGCCATTCTCGTCGAAGGCTTCAATGCTATTCATTCCAGGATTTCCGAGCTGCTCCTCCTGAGCGTACAAGGTCTGGTCCATGTCTAGCATGTTGGGCAGCCATCGTTTCTCTCGAATTTCGTCTTGTTCCTCTGGTGTCCTGCGTTTCCTTAGGACGTCAGCTTTGGTCTCTTCGTACGAACTTATGGGGATATTTTGTAGCATATTCTGAGCGGTTTCATAGTCGTTCCTTGAGGAGGGCAAGTTGAAGTAGTATGGTATAGGGTACTGTATGTTCGAATCGAGGGAGTCGAGGATGTAGCCGTTGGACAAGCCTCCGTTGTTGATGTACTGCGGCCGCACGGTACCGAGCCATGAGAATGTGATGATGATCCATTGGTGCAACATGGTTCTGGAAAGAGAAAAAGTTAACGTTAATGTCGATAAAAAATAATCTATTACAGTAGTGCTCTGAAAGAATTTAACAAAAATTTATTAGTGTTATCCGGGTTCAATTTTGTTTTTTTTTCTTTTGAAGGGGGAATTATCATATAAACAACTAATTTCTCCCGTGGGTGGGAGAGGCAGTACTATCAGACTTTTATTCACTAAAAGCCACCCCGTTCCTTCTCTGGCATCCCACTAAAGTACCATTCATCAATCCCCAAATGGTCGGCAACGCACTCGTAACTCCCTTGTTGTTGCGGATGTATATGGGCGGCGCTGATTGCTTACCATCGGGTAATCTGTATGCTCGTTGGTCATCAAGAACAAATGACGGCACGCTTGGCGTAGTGGCTGGCTACATACATATATAGTTGTTCCAAGAGGGAGTACCTATCAGACTCTTATTGAATAAAAACCACCCCGTTCTCTGGCATCCCAATAAAGTATATTTTTTCTGCTTTTAAAGAGCCTGGTAGTTTGTCTTAGAGTATAACGCAACTCGGGAAAATATATACTGTATTTTACTTATATCTATAACTAGCTACTCTCGCGCGGTTTCACCCGCTGCTCGGCTCCATTTGATCGTAGCGTGATGTTTTATAGCCTATAGCACTCAGGAACATTGCAGCTATCCATCAGTGAAAGAATTTTGGCAATCCGACCAGCGGTTCTAAAGATTATCCCCTACATACAAACTTACAAATTTTACCACTTTATAATATTAGTATAGATATCTTTGCCTACCCCTTCAGATGATATAAAACGTAATATTATGTTAATGTATTAAGTTTACAAGTGACGGTCAGACATGTCTAGACTCTTGTTTGCTTACATATTTAAAATTTTAATCGAGATAAACAAAATTGACTTGCACATAGCATCACATGTATTTGTTGATCTAAAGAAACGGTAGAAAAATAATAATATTTTTTTAAATTTAGAATGTTATATTTTATTCCTTTTTTAAGTAAATATTTCGAATTTAGAAGTGTATTTTTCGATCAATATTCATTAAAAGTAAATAACGACTTACTTAGGTACCTATATAAATAAACTTATGAAAGATAATCTAGTTTCAAATCGGTTATTTTCATTAAATTATATCTAGGTATAGATATGTGTCACATATAAAATTTATGTACGTATTTTAAAATGTTACAGAACCAACAAGAGCTACCTACTTCAACTACTTACAATCCTAGGGATTAAATGAACTTTTAAAATTCTGAAACTGCAATCAGCATAGGCGTAGATATCGTGAATTTGTGTGGCCCTGTGCTGAAACAATTTATGGCTTACTAAATTAGTGAACTAATTATTTATTTACCAAGCCTGTTATTGATACAATTTTCGATAGAACTTTCATAATTTTAGTGAATATCGCCTATTTTTTTATAAAGGCTTTGTGTCCTGCAGACCCTGGGGGTACCTAAAGCTTTAACCGCCGGTTTAAGTCGGATCCGCCCATGGTATTAAGATATGATTATGTTAAAACTTAATTTAAAATCTTTTTTTTTTTTTGTTACATTATCTTACTATATATTATGTAAACTACTGTGACTTTTTCACGAGATCGGAGTTCAGTTTTTTCACAAATAGATAAACTACACAAGTCACTTAAAATTAAACCGCTTTGTTTTTTTTTCGGTGCAGAGGAAATTTTCTTATGTTCTATACCCGCGTCTTGCAAAGATATATTTTCGAGTGGTGCTCAGTATCACCCGCTTATTACATGAGACTCATATCACGTCTTGAAAAAAGGTTGTATAAATAAGTTTAAATATGTACTACACTCTAATAATAAACTAAAAGACATCTTCTTTTATCACCATTATTACATCAGCTACCAGGCAAAATGGCAATTATTTCCAGATCATAAAGTCAGCCATATATATTTGCAAAAAAAAAAAATATTTTCCTAAACTGAACACATAGCTAACAACCTTACACCATCATTCCAATAAGCCATAGAGAAAGTAGGTCGTCAAACGAAGCTTTTACGGCTACAAAGAGGTTGATGTCGACGCGATACAAGATTATCTCATGCAGAGGACCAGTAAAGACATTAGCCAACCTACAAACCGCGAAGTGAAGTTATGGACCTACACACAAACGAACTATGCGCGGTTTTAGTCGGAGACCACTACAAGTATTCTGTGTTGACAGCGTTGATCTTAGTTGTTATAGAGATGTTGTTATTATTCGATTTGTTCATTAGCTAAGAGTTTGTTTGCTAGGGAGAAATGAAGTAGGTAAGGAATATGGTTTTAGCAAGTTCAAAATCAGTACATAGTATAAAACAAAGTCGTTTTTA